TTCAGTTTGCAAAAGTTTCCAACATTTCCAAACTGTGGTTACGCTACCACTGGTGGGGGAAAAAGAAACCAGAGCCTGCAACTTAACACCTGGGAATTTAAATAGACACATAAGTGCACACATGTACACGCAAATGCAGAGAAATACAATAAATTTACATTGGTGTGGGTACATACACGTATTGAAAGGAAAGAGCACATGCTTACATGAGTGAGAACATCTGTAGCAGAGGTAACGTCCAGACAGTACCGTGAATCCTTCCAGGTACTCCTGCTATCATCATTTCTCATAACAAGACCTCGACAGACAACACTAGTGTGGGTGATAGGATCTATAGTATCTGCTGATTTTGATCCATATTTTAAAAAGTTCCAAACATTAAATGCACAAACAAACATTCCTATTTGATTTACTGCTCCTTCTGCTTTCTAAGGGATCCTTTCTGCTTGTGCAACTTCAGCAGTCATCTTACATTTTGCAGAGAGGTGTTATAAGTGTGGGTGCTTGCAAAATGCACAGATCAGAGTTCATACATTATCGTCTTTTTCACTCCTCGCGTCGTCTTTGTGAAATCTCCGTTTTTGTGTCCTCGTGTCCCCCACGCCTCTATCCCAGTGTGACGACTTAAAAGCCCAGCTTGAGGGATGACAACCGTTGCTCACTTCAGAGGGCTGAGAGAGTATGGGAAGATCAGGAATGGAGAGAGATGAAAGCAAAAATTGCAGATGAGGTAGGACAGCAAGGGTAGGTTTAAAGATTTATAAAGGATTGACGGCTTCTGTGTCAGTCAAAAAAGCAGAATAACACAGTCTTGTTTTTCTTCACATCCAGACATGAGAACTGCGATCTTAAAATTACCTGATTTATCTTGAAAAATGTATTAATTACTCATACTTGGAGATTCATGGCTCTGAATGTGATACAAATAAGAAAAATTAGCTTAAATACTTTATAAATGCCTTAAACTGTTTATTGTATGGCTCATTTAGTTGCAGTGAATACATTTTTTGCAGTGATAAAATGACTAAATGTGATGCTAAATGTTTTCAATATGTTAAAAATGCACTGAAAGGACACGTTCCCATTGACTTCAACACACTTTTTGTGGAGGTTTTGTCAGAGTTGCTGAGGAGAATTAAATAAGTTGATTAAATCCTTTAAACATATTAATATCTGGCATTAGTTCATTGAGATGTACTGTAGGCACAAAAGCCATCAATGTTTTTTATTTATGTTACAGTTAAACCCTATTTTTATGCCTCCATGTCAGCAATAGCTGCTGCTGAAGAATTATGTTTTTGAGTTGTCCATCTGTCCGGCCCATTCTTGAGAACACAAAATGTAACGAACACCTTAATGGAATTTTGGCAGATTTGGTACACGTGCCCACTTGAACTCAAGGATTAACTGATTAGATTTTGGTGGTCACGGTGAAAGGTCAGTGACCTCATGAATGTCCCATTTAGATAAATTTCACTAGTTGGTGATGGCATACAACCATGAAGCAGTAATTCTAGTTTGTAATGTGATGTAACGACATTGAACCTAAGACAAAATTCCCTAAGGGCATAATAAAAAGTATATCTTTATGTTATATTAAATGTTTCTTACATAGGAGTGAATACAGTAGTGCTCTCGGTAGGCACTGTTCTCAGCTGGGGATTGATTTGTGCTAGTGAGTATTTACTGCAGCAGGATGCTGAGTGTCAGATTCACCTGAAATAAACTACAGCTGTCATGTTTGCTGTAATAAAGAAACATAGTCGTATGATGTTGCTCATTTATATGTTTACAATAGTTTTCAGACAATAGTTGCGCTCTTTAGCTATATGGCTGCACCATGTCAAGGTTTGGCTTCACTTATTAGCAGGATAAATTCATAGCTGGTTTTGGTCTCATTCGGGGTGTTGGTGTGGGAAACAGAAAATCCTCAGATTTGTCTTTTAAGGCTTCTGTAATAGCTGTAAATAGTCACACAGCAGTTACAGTATGGCTAAGGTAGAACAAATCAATACAATTTCCCCACAAGTGACAAGAATCAGTGGGCACACACACAACAGCTGCCCACAACAGTTGAGTGTGTGTGCCCAAGCATGGCATCTCATGATGTTCCTAATCCCTCCCAAATTGAGGTCAGTGGGGCTGTTAGGGGATCTTGGTGTGTTTACAGCCTCAGCCCGACCCCTTGGGAACACTGAGATTGGTTGGTGTTGTCAAACTAGTTCTGTCTCCAACATTTATCTAGGGATCTGATTGACTTCATCTCAAACCCTCTCAACCAAAGTGTTAAACATCTCTGTAAGAAGCGGGTCATGAAATGTGCTGTTTCACAGGTGGGGTCCAGGGATAGGGGCCTGCTTCCGAGTTGGGTTGGTGTTGGAGGGTGCAGTTGTTATAGTAACTCCCGGCTGTTCTCAGCGGCCCTCATGTGGGAGTGTTGCTATGGCAATGGCAAGTTGTAGCATAGGTGTGTTTTTGTGGTAACAGTATGTCTATGTGAGACTGCCGTTCACTCGGTGGTGACTGGAAAGTCAGCACCACCAGGTCCTTCAGGAGCAGAATCGGACTTCAGTGATACTTGTGCAGTGGCAATGATCTTTTATTTGATGATGTCTTTTTCAGACAGAACCTCAGGTTGTATAGAGACAATGTTGTGTGATAGGAGAAATTAACTTGTCTTCAACAAAGACTAGGGCAGTATGGTTAAATAGTTCCTCAGAATCTTTTATTTTAAAAGCACAAATTTGTAGAACAATAACATAAAATCATATCATCCACTGAAAGTTAGTAAATAATAATATTGAAGAATTTTCATCCAGCACTTGCAGCCATTTGGAGAGACAGATGGCTCAGCCTTAACCTGTTATAAATAATGCATCTGAATATAAACACTAATACTAGCCCAGTAAGATTCCCATGTTAGTGATTTTATCATACAACCAACAAATGTATCAGCAGAATGGTTTCGTTCCTGCCCATGACTACCATTTGCCTCCACTGGTGCTAGATTGTTTATCAGTCAGACCTAATCAGTATTTTCAAAATGGGTTTCATCACTGGAAGCTGTTTATTTGTGTCTGGGCTTAGCGAATGCAGCATCTCATTATAGCAGCACTGTGTCTGACCCACCCGATTACCTGCTGTATTTTTCTGCCATTTCTGTTTTATCATTGTCTTTCTCTTTGAGTGTCTTGTTAAACCCCTGTAACCAGATGCCAAGTCTTTTCTCTCTGCCTCTTCTATCTTCTCTCTCTGATCTCTCTGCCTCACCCCTACCCCACCCGTTTGTTTCATTAGTAATGTCTGTCTGTTCTTGCAATCGCCATCTCTGTTTTACTCATGTTTTCACACAGAGACACATTCATTGTGTGTGCATACATGCAGTTTGTACTTGCATACATTCAAAAGAATATAGCTATAAAGCCATTTCCAGTATCTATGTTCAGGTGAGTTGAGGAGAAGCACAGATCTCAGACATGCTGATTTGTAGTCTTTACAGTGACAATCCCTTAAGAGCCTGAATAGCCAAACATCTTGAAAAAGCTCTGCACTGCCATAAACCCACACAAAACGCTTCCATTTTCTGGTTTCTAGGAAGGACTCTCAGCCACCACATGGCAATGCAAGAAAGCTTCTTACATTATTCGCTCATTTCATTTTATCCCAGCTCAGCTTAAATGGTTGACTGCTGTCCATTGTGTCTGTATATTCTCTCCCTCTTAGGCATCGTGTACATGTGCACATATTTTTCAGATTCACCCAGTGAAGTTGAGCACTGCACGAATGATTGGCAGACAAAGCGAGGGATAGCATCCTTGCTCAGTTGAGAGAGCTCAAGCTCGGCATACTAGACCTGCTTTTTCATTATGACCTTTTGACCTCGCTTCAGCTGTCATTAATGTTTTGGAATTGTAGGTCCGGTACTGATTATGACACAAACACACACACATTAGTTTTTCTTTTGGAGACTTTACATTGACTTGGATTGTTTCCTGGAGACTTGCCTACCCCTAACTCTTACTCTAATCTTAAACCAATTCTTCACTTTAAAATGTAATGATTTAGGTTCTGAAGGTTTATTTTTGGCCCCAAAAGGAAATTGAGTCCCCACAGTGTTACTGTGTAAACAGATTTGTAATCATAACACGAGTAATACAAGCCCCCCTAACCACACACACACACACTGGCACCTTGGTACATATCCAAAAATACCTCTTTAGCTAGGCTATAAATGTTTATTTCTGTCAACGCTCAGACTGTTTTCTGAAATTATCACATTTTGATGTCTCTGTTACTTTCTTTCATTTAACTGTCCCCCTCTCTCACCTCTGCTGTTCTCAACCATCTGGCTTGAAGTCCATCCTCTTGTAAATTGAAGGGCTGGGCTGAATTCATTACAGTAATTTTAACTTGCCGTTTGTATATTTAGTATTGTGTGTGTGATCAAAAATGTTTGAAAAGTAAAGGAACCCAGCTGTAAGATGCCTGTTTGGAGCTTTTTTATGTTTGCTATAACAAACCATATGGGATATAATTAGTCTAAAAGAAGTGCCAAGGTGTTCTCTGGAGATATCTGGTGGTGTGAGATAGAGGAAATGCCATCAACACGCAGTGACATGTGAAAGTCATGTATGAGAGAAGAAATAGAGGGCAGTCACCTCAGAACAAAACCTTGGTTGCATTAACATGTTTTCCTATCACTGGGGAGTAAATCAGATTTTGAACCTCTTCCAGCAGAATGAGCATTTATTTTCACTTCCATAATAGTAGGTGTGAACCAAAACAAAACAGTTTTATAATTGCTGGTCCTTCACCTTTAGCAGCAACAGAATTACATGATATCTGAGGATTTTTATATACAGTTTTTTATGGTATTTAAGGGACCACGTAGTACTTTTCCATAAATGTGTTATTCTAACCTGGTCTTGGCATCCCCAGTAACCTTCATATATTCCAACTGGAGTGCTAATTTCCTCTTCTTCTTTTCTTTATTTTTGCAGTCATTGCTGACTCGTTGACAGTAACGGCTCCAGCCCAGACTCTGTCCAAAGTGGAAGGTGATACACTGCAACTTACCTGTGAGGTGTCTCGGACCACGCTACAACATACTCATTTGTCAGTGGGTTGGTACCTTCGATCACCGGAGGACGCCGCTGCACCACCGCAGGAGCTTGTCACCTTGTCGAGGGACTTTGTTCTGCGCTCCGGGGGTCCGTACCGGCAGAGGATGGCAGCAGGGGACCTCAGGTTGGATAAAACCAGCACTACGGCCTACAGGCTGACCATTCACAAGCTTCAGCCAATGGACCAGGGCCTACTTTACTGCCAGGCTGCTGAATGGATTCAAGACCCAGATGACAGCTGGTTCACCATGACCCGCAAGCAGAGTGACAAGACTCAACTCCGCATTCAGCCTACTGGTGAGTAAAGGGAAGAGATTCTGTGAGAAAGAAGGGGGAGTGATAAGGAAGGGTAAAGCTGTTTGTCAACTCTTAGGCTCCCTCCTGTTCTTTAAAAAGGGCTCAACTAAACCTCCACAGACTCTTCACTTTTGTGTTTGTGTCTGTTTGATGGGTAATATTACAAGCACATATAAGAATAATTTAACCAGCTCCAAGCAATGTGGGCAATGTGGGTGTTGGACACCTACAGTATATCTCCTACATATAAAGTCTCTCCAGGCAGCGGGTGACCTAGAGATCAGAAGCCAAAAGTGGGTTTTTCAGTCATTCTTCACCAATAATTACACCAGCGTAGTTTGTGCCTGAGTGCATTAGTGGGAGAAACCACGCTGCTTTAGTGTGGTTGCCAACTATGACTCTAATGGAAGCGAGGAAGGGAGTTACCAGTCAAGGGAGGGAGAGAGAGGGGGGCTGCCAGGGAGGCATGGTGTTGAGTAAGTAACAGGGGGTGCATGTTAGAAGTATATAGCTGAAAAAAAGAGCATGGTGAGATGGCTGATGAAGGAATGTCTCATATGATAATGATCTAATAAGCTGTCAACATCTAGACTTGATGAACCAGAAACAAAAACGGCTTTACAACTCCCCACGTATAATCTCCCATCCGACTTGGCCCCATCACATACACGAACAATCTCTTTGTATTTTTTTTCAAGAAAGAAAAAAAAAAAGCGGTGGGTGATAAACTGCTTTGACTTTAGCTCAATTACCAAGGCAGCATGCAGTGGCGAGTGTCTCATGCCAGTAAATCACTTTAAAGTGGAATCGTTTTGCCTTTCACCATTAAGCATCGGATCCACTCTGGACCAATACAAGTTGATGGTGCCCTAGATAGTGCTGGGTGGATGAGAAGGAGACTAGGAGCTCACATGTACAGCAGGTTCATCAGATGAGTTCCTGCTACTTCAGGCAGGAGACAAAGGGCACAAAGCGCTCCCCTCTCAGCAACCTTGGTCACTCTGTCTTCGCTGTAATATACAATGGATGGCGGTGTTGTTGCGTGACAAAGGGAATACAGCAGTTTTGATGCAACTTGTGAGCGCTCAAATCTGAGTATATCCATAAATTTATCTTAATTTCTTCTCGTGTACTTGAGGGCGTAACTTACATACCTTTTGACTGAACTTGTGTATTTGATGTCACACCTGTTTAAGTGCGTATCTGACAGAGTGCGAGAAATTTAGAAAGAAGCGAGAGCAGCTCCTCCACCAGACTCCTGTTATTAAAGATGGAGTGGATCTCAAGACAGCCCCATCACTAGCTAATCACCCACAGCCGGTATCAGAGAGAAGAGTGACGGACAGAATCCTAATGTACTTTTCACTTCCAGCTCCATCTTTCTTTCTTTTTATTTTTACCTCCTTCCTTGTCTTCCACTCTCACATCACTTCTCATTTTCTGCAGTCATGTCTCATCACGTTATTTTTTTCCTGTTCCTTTGGTTTCTCTCTCCATCATTGACTTCCTCTTTACCTCTGCTACTTGCATTGTTCACTTTTTTGGTTAACTCTAAAAACTACTGTAACACATGCTAGACCTACGTGGCTGTTTCCTGCATCCTCTGAGCTTAGATGAACTCTTCCACAGTCCTGATACTAGAACTCCATGCTTAGTGGTGACGGGTTCGTGTCCCAGGTGGTCTCTGTGGTCCTCACAGTTTTTCTGCCCTACCTTACTTCACAGTTACTTACATTTAGATGTTATAATACAATGCTTTGCTGTCCTGCTGCTTGCAAAGCTGTTCTTTTTGTGGACTTCTGTGGGTGCGGATCTGTGTACAAGGACTGCAAGTAATTACTGTTTCATCATTGAGTTACTCTGGTAAATTCTTTTAATAAGTCATTTTTAGTCTATAAAATGTCAAACACTGTTTAAAAAAAAGGCAAAGTTCAAAGGAGACATGCAGTACAAAGCCCAAAGGTGTCTTATTTACAATAAAATAAAACTGTCTAAAACATCAAATTCTCACATTTGATGTGCTGGAACCAGAGAATGTGTGTTTTTATTTTTATTGCCATAAGTTATACATAAACTTTTGATTTCCCATGTATTATTTATTGATAGATAGTATTTGTTAAAACATATTTAGCTCCATTATTGTAGTTTTTTCACTGATGGTCTTTTATTAACAGCATTCCATTCCACACCTCTATGTACTTTGAGTTGGTATGTCAGTATTTAGTATGTGAGCATTTATGTGTTTGTGTATATGAAAACAATATCCCTCTCCTTCCCATTATAATGTTCCCCTGTATAATGAGCTCTATACCAACAGCAGGCTTTGAACTTTTGCACATTAGTGTGTTTCTCAGGAAGTCTGTTTAAAGTCTTTGTAATTACAGCTTGGGGCTACCACCTCACTGAGAGGCAAAGCAGCCGTCTCTGATACATACCATGCTCATCATCTGGAAATTAATACAGCAAATAAAGCAGAATACACAGTCATACACATAGCAGAACACACACATAGCAGCAGCAGCAGCAGCAGCAGCAGCACTGTGGACTAGCTCCAGCAGTGTTTGCTCTGTCTGTTCTTTGTTAGACCATGAAGGAGGAGGAAGAGAGACCGCCTGACTCTGTTTAAGACTGCTGAAGAGAATTTTAATTAGATGTGTTTTTTATTGCAGAGGTGAAACCAAGGGGGGAGAGGGAGCAGGGCTCCCTGAAAGATCAGCTTTTTACTGGAGCGATGCACCGTTTGACCTCTGTCTTCTCTAGTTTCAGCTTTCTATCTCTCTGGCACTAACTGGTGTTATTTTATTGCCCCCACCCCCACCCATCCCTGACCAACTCAAACCCTACCTCTATCACCCACCTTAATCTTTTCATTCTCTCTGTTTTAGCACACAGGTTTGGCAACCCACACTGTGGATATAAAGAAAATGCAACAGTGTTATGAATTTCAATTTCAGTCAATTTTTAGATGTCAGAAACAAGTGGGGGAACATCATAACAGTCACCTTCTCAAAGAAATATCTTCCAGACTACTCTTTCCATTTTACTGCTTTATTTATGATCTGGTGCTGTACTAAGGGTTTGTACATTTACAGGTGTTTCATAAAATTATCTAAGTGACAAATATGTATGGATTTGATTGCTTCAAATGCAACAAACTACTTTCTTTATGTTTCCCCCACCTCACCACACTTCTGCCTGTACTACTAAACATTCCTTTGACTTGGAACTTTCTTCTATCTTTCCCCATCTCTTTCACTCAGATCGGGACTTCAGCATCCAGGTGAGCACGGACCGACGGTCCTTCACGGCCGGTGAGCCGCTGGAGCTCCGCTGCACCATTGAGGCCCAGAACGTCCCTGAGCGTTTCTTCTCGGTGTCGTGGGTCTTCAGCAGCTCACCGGTGGCCGTGGTGGGCCCCAGTGCTGTGCCTGTCCTGGGCCAAAATTATGTCACCCGTGAGGCGGCTGGTCAAATGACCATACGTAAAGAGAGTGCAAATGTGCACCTGCTCAAGCTGCAGCACCTACGTCTCGAAGATGCTGGGAAATACATCTGCCGTGTAACGGAGCGAGAGAAGACACCCACGGGAGACTTCATCGACCGCAGCAAGAGGTCTCGCAATGTCCAGATCACAGTGCAGCCACTCAGTGAGTAATAATCTGTTCACAAGGCCACTGGCTTAGTTAACCTGTCCTTAGTTGTCAATTACACTAAGAAGTATGAGCTGTTCAACAGTTTTATCTTCATATAGGAAGGATGAAATGTCATGCTAGGCTCTTCTCCAGCTTCTCTGTCCCCTACCCCCCACATATTTTGTCCAGGGTGGCCTAATGGGTATCTGCAGCCTTTGTTGTTAACCGTGAGTAAGAGGGGAAAGGATAATGCTGTTCTCCTGATGTATTTTCAGTTTGAGTGGATTGCTAAGGATTGGTAATGCAGCATTATGGTCCTTTCCATTTCCTTGGCTTAGCTGGCAGGAGGGTAACACTATAGTAGGATAATGGAGAGCAGACGAGTCCAGACTCCAAGAGGCTGAGCTAACAGCCATGAAATGAATGCGTGGAGAAAGAAAAGAAGCAGAGAAAGGGGCATACCTCTCCAGGGCCCTCTAAGTGGCTCCCCAGGCTAAATTAATGTTTTCTGCTGGAGCAGACCTCTTCAGCTGGTTTAAGCAGGGCTTGTTGGCGGGGTTGTGTCAGGCTTACAGCTGATCGATGCAAAATTACAGTCAAACCTCTAAAACCTTGCTCACAGTCCTGGAGATTTTTCTTTCTTTTGATTGTGGAAGGAAAACCACCTCCATCAGTGTGGGTCATATGCTCAATCCACTTTTGTCTCTTAGGACAGGAATAGTGCATGGAGCCTGCTGCTCACAGTGTATAAAGCATAATGACCACAGAGGAGTTTCTCCTCTCAAGCAGCCAACACTACCTTACCCTGACCACTCTGCACCCCATGCTTAATCAGCCTGAAACAATGGCCCCGAGTCTGCAAGAGTCTCCAGGGAAGCTCTCACTATGGCAGGTTTTGTTTTTCCAACAAAAAAACCTTAATGTCCTATAAAAGATGTTTATAGTGATTACACAGGATAATAGTCATGGTTATTGGAGAACTTCCATTAAACACAGCAGCAGTAGTCGTGCCTATCCTCATGTCTGCTTTCTCTAACCTGCACACACATGCAATTGCCAGATGTGCTTCATCATTCTAACTGGGGGGAATCAGGTGAGAGTTGGTAATAGGGTGCAAGTGTTTAAGTTGGTGAGTCAGAGGCAGACAGAGATGACAGCACAAGAAAAACCGAGGTAAATACTTCTAACAAATCAGTGTTGATGGATGAGGTTACCCTTGCAATGAGAGGTGGAGAGAGCTTATGTCACACTGAATCTATGTCACATAGAAAGGACTAGGGCAAAGGTAGGGACAAAAAGAGAGGAGGTATACCGGAAAAAAAAGATAAAGAAAAGAAAGAGCAGCTCATGGTGAATGCGAAAATTTAAAAACCAAAGTTCAAAGTGAAGGGAAAATTAGAGACACACAATGCTCCACTGAAACTAGAACATTTTAGAAAAAGAAGAATGGTTGGATCTACATGTATAACTGTCTAACAGTCCTTTCCTCACCTTCCCAGTGTGGAAAAAAGAATCTACCGTCATTTCCAAACTATTGAGCACACCTGAATATAAGCTGCACCCACTAAATTTGTACATAGTCGCAGGTGTCCACGTTGTAACAGGAGATATTTCAACAGCCAGATTGATCGCCTTTAACTTGAAAGCTGCATCATATGCATTTCGTTGTGTGTTTTCCATGATGAGGGTGTGTGCATGAAGTGAAAAAAGTAGCAGCTTATAGTGTGGAAATTACGGTAGTATATTCTCAGCGTGGAAAAAAAACATGAAACTGTTAAAATTAAAACTGAAAGGAATAAGAAAAAATGTAGAGTTTTCCTTTTGTTCAATTTGAGTATGATAGAAGTAAGGGGAAAAACAGAGAAACCTAAAGTACACTGAAAAGAGACAGCAGTGTTGGCCCTGTAGGGCTTGGAAGAGCTTTTGGGTCAACCAGAGCTCCATAATGTTGGATGGACAATGAAGATAGATAGATACTTTATTACAGACTCAAGGTCCAGATGTATAAATACTAAAAAAACAATAAAAACCATAAAACAGTCAACAATAAATAACAATAAAAAAAAACAACAACCACCAATAAACAACTACCTTTTGGGATGAGAGATGAGAGTCGAGATAAAGCAGAAAAAGAGTCAGAAAAGACCTTTATCCTCCTCCTCCTCCTCTTCT